GTGGAAAATTCCTAACAAAAAAAAGAAACAACCCATTTTAAAAGTACATTGAACTAAACAGGAAGAAGGCCTTCTTATTCTGGAATAAAAGTATCCAACATGGAGTTAATCAGAAACAAGTCCATGTGTATACAAGCCCTCCAAACTGACACTTAACAACACAGTCTCTGGGAGATTGAGAGAACACAAAGGGGACATCTCTCTGAGCTGGGAAACGTTTTGACTGCTGAATCCAAACAAGCTGAGGGGAGGTTGCTGCAGGAATCAGAGGGGGCTTCATGATCAGGAAGAGAAGACTGAGCCAGAGAAGTGAGATCCAGAAGAGAGGACCTGGGACCCCTGAGGGCACTGACCAAAACCCATAGAATGTTCAAGAATGGTGAGGACTCTGAGGGAGGGAATTACATACTGGCATTTCTGATTTTTCCTAGATCAATGTATCTCCTGTGCTTTGTCTATGAGTAATTAATTATTGATTTAGAAATTCCTCTGCAAAGTGTGTGTTTTACTTCAACTGTCATGTTCCCAGAAGGGTTAAAATATAAATCAGAGTACCCAGGGGGGTGGAGCTTTGGTGACGGTGTATGGAGGGTCGCATGGGTCCTGGAGCCCATTACTTAGAAGTGACACCAGACAAGCTCTGTGCCCCGAAAGTATGTCTGAGAGGCCAGAGGCTGGAGCCTGTCAGAACCAGAGGAGTGTAGAAACACATAGATCCAGCACAAAAGTCCAAACACAGCTGCTTGGTGAGCAGCCACAAGGGGGAGCTCAGCCAGGACTGACTATTTTCTTGCCATTTTTGATTTTGTTTCTTTTTCCCTCTGATTCACTAACTGTTTTTCAAATTCTTAAAGTGGTTCATGAATCATTCAGCCTCAGTAGAAATGAATAATAATAAGCCCATTTTCATTGTGTTCAGTATGCAACTAATTACCTGAAAATGACTGCCTGGTATTGCATCAAGGATTGTCTCATTAGCATTCAGTGCTCCTGTTATAGCAGAAAGGAGGAAAGAAAAGAAGAGGAAAAAGGGGAGTAGAGAGCACAAAATCATTTTTTTACTGTGCTTTGGGCTGCTCATTAACCCTTTCCCACAAATACACCAAATGGTATGTACGATACCGTGTCTTGCAGGAGGCATGATAGAGGTTGCAGAATGAATGGTGTAGAGAAAGTAAGTCCAATGCTCTATTTACTTTCTCTCAAATTACAAGAGCAAGAGGAAATGCAATGAAAATTAAGGGCACCACATTTAAATCCCACATAAGGAGATATGGGTAAAAAAAAAATAACTTTTGAAATTCACTGCCATAAGTTACCACTGAAGCCAAGAATTTGGTTTATGCAGCAGAGGAAACCTACCTATTAAGCAGTCTCTTGCAAGCTCCACTCAAGCTCCAAATACAGTAATAATATAGTGTCTTACCACAAAAACTGCACAACATTGCTATTTCTTTATTTGTATCACAGTCGTGCTTAGAAGCCTCCATTAGGGATTGGGTCCCACTGTGTTAGGCACTGTACATGCATAGAATGAAAAGATGGTCCTTGCCCAAAAGAGTTAATTCTGCTTTACAGAGTAATTGTATAAAAAAGTTGCTCAGTGGAACATTTAAGGCTTATAGAATAATTGACCAACAACCATTATATCAGTTTTACAGTGGATTAGTTGCATTAACATAAAATCCTTGAAACTATGGAGTAAACTGGCATTAAAAATGTACTACTATTTATACAATGGGATTTTCAAAAGTGTTTAAGTGACTTAGGAGCACAAGCCCCGTCGTCAGTCAATGGGACATGTGCTCCCCTTGTCACTTAGGTGCTTTTGAAAATCCAACCTTATAATCATAAGAAAGCAAGTTGGCCACTATAGTGCTATGATCATTGTGTCATCCAGGAAATCTTGTATTGATGTCTATGGGTTGTGCAATCTTTCTGAATCAATCAATCTACTGCAAATGAGCTAAATTAAGGCTGATTAACTGGGAACAAAAGAAATACTGTTTGGAATCTTCATAAAAAAGCATTTAACTGGACTAACACTAATATATGCAGTTATGTATAGAATTAAGTAGGAAAGGATGAATACCTTTTACTGTGCATTTCAATGAGTCCTTTGGCATAAGGTTTCTCTGCCACAAGGATGATACAAACTAGCTCCTATCTTCACTGAAGTCCTTGACCACCACAATAAACACCACCCTATGAAGAGAAGCAATTCAGTTTAATACGCAAAATCATGTGGCTCCCAAAACCAGCCTCCCAGAAAGAATGCAGTTTGTTCAGAGCATATATTTGCATTGTATCTGAAACAGATAATCTGAAATATTCCAATGTATTGTGATGGTCTGACTCACATAACAATGCTATCTGCAATTAGTCCTTAAGCATAGAGTTTAAAACCATGTATATATATAATTTTTATAACTAAGAAACATTAAACACACTGTGGCACTAAGGTATGCAGCATATTGATAGTTGTAGCAGATTATTGCCCAAATCCAGACAGTACTTAAATTGTTGCTTAATTTACAGCACACCAGTAGTAAATTTCTGTATGTCTTCCTAGGTACTTCCATGGCACTTGTCACCACCGTATCTGAGTGCTTCAAAATTATTCATGAATCTTATTCTCACAATAAGCATGTTAGGTAGAGAGCTATTATACCCATTTTACAGATATTAAGGGTAAAATTTTCACAAGTACCTAAATCTCATTTTCAAAAGCGATGTAGGCATTTAAGAGCTAAAGTCTCACTGAAAGTCAATAGGACTTAGGCTACTAATTCACATGGGGTAATATTTTCAAAAACACCAACTGTCTTGCCCAAGGCCAGACAGGAAGTCTATGAGCAAGTTTAGGATTTGAACCCCAATTTCCTGGTTTAGCGCAGTGATTTATCCTGCCTCCCATTGACAATACTCCCATTGGCTTCATGTGCTGAAAATTAAATACCTGCTTAAGTTCTCTGCAGACCTAACCAAAGTCCAGAAAGAGAGCTGGTTCCCCTACAATCATAAAAATGATACCACCAAATATACTCTGAAAGTAAATTACTGAATCACAACCCAAATGACAAACACTACGGACAGACAAATGATACATCAATGTTTTATTTGCTTAAAGAAAATGTAGACATAGACAATCCCATCTTTTCATACTACTTGCCAGAGAGATTTGGCAACACAAAAAGGGACAACTCGAGTGCTTTCATTTCACTGCTACCTTTTGCTCTTTTCCCATTTCAATTCTGTGCCAATTTCCTGTTTGGTAGCTCTTAGAAACATCTCTCCCCAGCTTAGAGATAAGAATTCATCCTTTCTGAACTACCAAACCATAAAAGTGAAAAATGGTAAAGGCCTCCTAAATCATCCTCTACACATCTCTATATGTGCAGGATTGTTCCCTCCAGTAGAATCACTACTGTTTTGTCTAGTCTCATTTTCAATGCCACAATCACTTCTCTAGGACTGCTTTAATTAGTAAGAAGCAGAATCTAGCCCATATTGTGGCTATTATCATAGAGAACAGTTGTTTGGAGGAGGACATGATATCTTTATGTTATAGTACATCATCTTTTGATAGCATAACTCCATTTTGGAGAGGTCTAGTCTATTTATCATAGACAAATGATGGAGTGATTTATGAAAGTATATGCTAGTTCACCATCTATTATTTAAAACTCTTCCTTCACTAATGTCATAAATATAAAGGGAAGGGTAACCACCTTTCTGTATACAGTGCTATAAAATCCCTCCTGCCCAGAGGCAAAACCCTTCCACCTGTAAAGGGTTAAGAAGCTAAGATAACCTCGCTGGCACCTGACCCAAAATGACCAATGAGGGACAAGATACTTTCAAATCTGGACCGGGTAGGGGTGGTGAGAACAAAGGGTTCTGTCTGTCTGTGTGATGCTTTTGCTGGGAACAGATCAGGAATGCAACCTTACAACTCCGGTAAAGTTAGTACGTAATCTAGCTAGAAAATACGGTAGATTTTCTTTTGTTTAATGGCTGGTAAAATAAGCTATGCTGGAGGGAATATATATTCCTGTTTTTGTGTCTTTTTGTAACTTAAGGTTTTGCCTAGAGGGATTCTCTAGGTTTTGAATCTGAGTACCCTGTAAGGTTTTTACCATCTTGATTTTACAGAGTTGATTCTTTTACCTTTTCTTTAATTAAAATTCTTCTTTTAAGAACCTGATTGATTTTTCATTGCTCTTAAGATCCAAGGGTTTGGGTCTGTGTTCACCTGTACCAATTGGTGAGGATTATTATCAAGCCTTCCCCGGGAAAGGGGGTATAGGGCTTGGGGGGATATTTTGGGGGAAGACGTCTCCAAGTGGTCTCTTTCCCTGTTCTTTGTTTAAAACGCTTGGTGGTAGCAGCATATTGTTCAAGGACAAGATAACGTTTGTACCTTGGGGAAGTTTTTAACCTAAACTGGTAAGAATAAGCTTAGGGGGTCTTTCATGCAGGTCCCCACATCTGTACCCTGGAGTCCAGAGTGTGGAAGGAACCTTGACAACTAATATTTAAAGCTTGGATGAAAATTGTTATAGAAGTGTTAAATATAAATGTACAATAATGGTAAGTAAAGATAGATCAGAAAGTTTTCATTTTAGGCGATACGCAATACATAGGTTATAAAGAAAAACATTTATAATATAAATTTGAAGAGACCTTAACTGCCAATCTTAAAATGAGACACCCAAATAGAATTTTCACTAAAACATCAGAGCTTCTCTTATGTGTTGAGCTGCAATTTTCAGTAGGAATTTTGCTATTGTATTTTAATATTCGATAAATTCTCTTAATGGAATATATGGTTACCAGACATACAGAATAGCGAATAATATGTAACTGTAAGACACAAAGAGCCTGGTGATGTGGCTAGTGGGTGTAAAAGAAGCTGCCCATTAAAACAGTAAAATATTTGGTCACAGATACCATACCAGGGACTTTTTTCATGAACCCATCTTTTTTCCTTCTTATAGGATCACAACTACAGCTGCTTGCATGATGGATCTACGTAGATACCCTCTGGATGAACAAAACTGCACACTAGAAATTGAAAGTTGTAAGTTGTGGGAGGGAGAGGGTTGACCACACTGCATCTTTGAATTGAAAATAATTCATTGGTTAAGTAAAGTCTATAGTTGGTCTACAACAGAATTCACAGCCCTATTATATTCTTATCAGTTTGGTTTGTGTATAGAAACTATATAAATGCATAATAAAATGAATTGAGTAAGATGAGCCACATTTAATTCACATTATTTTGCTGTTCCAAGACTATCAAATTTCTGTGAAGGTCTCTTGCCTAAAGGAGGGAGTGCTGTGTAATGGTTAGATCAGAGTCCTGAGTCAGATCTTTTGCCTTCTCCATCACCTACTCACCATAGTATCTTATCTTGGGAAAGTCACCTCACCTCAATTTATTCATCTGAAAAAGTAACACTAATATTAGCATTTGCAAAGCACTTTTAGAACCTCAGATGAAAGACACTATAAAAATGAGGTCCTGGATTCTATATCATTAAAGCCAATGGGAGCTTTGCCATTGACTTCAATGAGCATAGTTTCAAGCTCTGTAAGATTAAATTCTTCTTTCTCATATCTTAATAGTTCTCTACAGATGGGAGACTCACAAAAACTCTATGGTGAGATTTAGTGAATGGTGCTTGTATACTCAACGTTGTCTAAGTCAATCCATTGTCTTCATAGAACACATTATCTCAACATATCTGATTAAAAACTTCCAAAGCAGAATATCTCAAATAGGACATTGCAGCAGTTTCTATGAAATAGTTCCAGTAGTCATATTATAACTTTTGTAAATTGACTGTAGTAATGTGTTAACCTCTTACTGTAACTAGTATTTGTTTCTACTTTTTTGTGAAACTCCCAGTGAGTGTCATAATACAGTAACTTTAACTGGAAACTTCCTTCATAACCCGCAAAGCTGCACATTATGATTGGCAGCTCTGCTACTTCAGACTTTGCAGTCCCAGCTCGCCATCTTTCTGGCACAAAACGCCATAATGACAGCTGCAGCGGCACAGGAGCGAGCAAACAGAGCTGTAAACAGGGGAGTTTGAAAGGGGAGTTTGTATTGTGGTGCTCGTTGGGGGTTTGCTTTTGCTGTGGGTGGTGGTGTTTTGGTGTGGTTTGTGTTTCCCAGATTAACAGGATTTAGGTGGGAAGGCTATGACAGATACAGAGGCAGGAGTGGGAGTGACCCATGTAGTGGAAGACACAATGAAGATGACTGGATGTGGAAGCTGCGGTATGATCCTGGAGGGGGTACCTGGAAAGATTTTCGTCTGCATGAAGTGCCATCTTATAGAGCTGATGGAAGGAAAGATCCGAGGATTGGAGATGCAGGTAGAAAGTCTGATTGAGTTTAGAAGGGGCTTCGAGTGGATTATGGAGCAAAGACATGAGGAGGCGGAAGAGAAAAGCTCAGACTTGCAGATAGAAGCAGGACTGAAGAATTCTGAGGGGAGACTGCTGGGTGAAGAAAATGGACAGTGGAAGCATGTGACTAAGAGAACCAGGCAGAGAAAAAGACGGGCTAGTGAAGGAGAAATAGAACTCAAGAACAGGTTTGCAGAGTTGGAAAATGAAGAAGGGGCTCAGCAGGTGGTCACTGAAGGTGGAAGGGCAAGGAAGAAGAGAAGAGCGGCTAGTCCTATAGGAAAAGGGGAAGAGTCAATTGAGACTACACCAAATATGAGCCCCAGGAGGATACAGGATGGGTTGAGGAGGATTACAATGGAGAATAGGAATGGAAAGAACCTGTAGCCAGAGGGAACAGGGGATAGACCGGAGAATTGCACTGTCACCAGGAAAAGGCAGGTCTTTGTGATTGGGGACTCCTTACTGAGAAGAATGGACAGACCTGTAACCAGAGCTGATCCAGAGAATAGAAGGGTGTGCTGCTTTCCAGGTGCTAAGATACGGGATGTGGACCTCAGGTTGAAAAGAATCCTAAAGGGAGCGGGAAAGAATCCACTGATCGTCCTTCATGTGGGAACAAATGATACTGGTAGATTCTCGCTGGAACATATCAAGGGAGACTATGCCAGGCTGGGGAAGGAAGACACTTAAGGAAATCGAGGCTCAGGTGATCTTCAGTGGGATTCTGCCTGTTCCTAGAGAAGGGCAACAAAGGTGTGACAAGATCATGACTATCAACAGATGGCTCAGGTAGTGGTGGGCTGTAAGGAGGGCTTTGGGATGTATGACCACTGGGAGGCATTCATGGACGGAGGATAGTTCTCTCGGGATGGACTTCATCTGAGTAGGGAAGGAAATAGACTTCAAGGATGGAGGCTGGCACAACTGATTAAGAGAGCTTTAAACTAGGAATCTGGGGGAGATGGTTGGGAGATGTCCAGGTAATCTCCACACCAGATTTTAGCATTGAGAGGGAACAAAACAAAGTAAGAAAAGATACAACCGTGGGTAGGAGAATGGACAAAAGGAGGAAGGGCAGTGTGGATACCAGTGTAATAGATCATACTGGCTGTAGAATGTCCATGCCTAATCGGGTAAAGAATGTGAGCAAGGCCAAACAGCAAAAATTAAGATGTTTGTACACCAATGTGAGGAGCCTAGGTAACAAAATGGAGGAACTAGAGCTACTTGTGCAGGAAGTGAAGCCAGATATTATAGGGATAACAGAAACATGGTGGAATAGTAGTCATGACTGGACTACAGGTATTGAAGGGTATGTGCTGTTTAGGAAAGACAGAAATAAAGGTAAAGGTGGTGGAGTAGCATTGTATATCAATGATGAGGTAGAATGTAAAGAAATAAGAAGCAATGGAATGGATAAGACAGAGTCCGTCTGGGCAAAAATCACATTGGGAAAGAAAACTACTAGAGCCTCCCCTGTGATAGTGCTTGGGGTGTGCTATAGACTGCCGGGATCTAATTTGGATATAGATAGAGCCCTCTTTAGTGTTTTTAATGAAGCAAATAAGAATGGAAACTGCGTGATCATGGGAGACTTTAACTTCCCAGATATAGACTGGAGGACAAGTGCTAGTAATAGTAATAGGGCTCAGATTTTCCTAGATGCAATAGCTGATGGATTCCTTCATCAAGTGGTTTCTGAACCGACAAGAGGGGATTCCATTTTAGATTTGGTTTTGGTGAGTAGTGAGGACCTCATAGAAGAAATGGTTGTAGAGACAACCTTGGTTCAAGTGATCATGAGCTAATTTAGTTCAAACTGAACGGAAGGATAAACAAACATAAATCTGCGACTAGGGTTTTTTATTTCAAAAGAGCTGACTTTCAAAAATTAAGGAAAGTAGTTAGGGAAGTGGATTGGACTGAAGAACGTATGGATCTAAAGGCAGAGGAGGCCTGGGATTACTTGAAGTCAAAGCTACAGAAGCTATCAGAAGTATGCATCCCAAGAAAGGGAAAAAAATTCATAGGCAGGAGTTGTAGACCAAGCTGGATGAGCAAGCATCTTGGAGAGGTGATTAAGAAAAAAGCAGAAAGCATACAGGGAGTGGAAGATGGGAGAGATCAGCAAGGAAAGCTACCTTATTGAGGTCAGAACATGTAGGGATAAAGTGAGACAGGCTAAAAGCCAAGTAGAGTTGGACCTTGCAAAGGAAATTAAAACCAACAGTAGAAGGTTCTATAGCCATATAAATAAGAAGAAAACAAAGAAAGAAGAAGTGGGACAGCTAAACACTGAGGATGGAGTGGAGGTTAAGGATAATCTAGGCATGGCCCAATATCTAAACAAATACTTTGCCTCAGTCTTTAATGAGGCTAATGAGAATCTTAGGGATAATGGTAGCATGACAAATGGGAATGAGGATATGGAGGTAGATATTACCATATCTGAGGTAGAAACGAAACTCGAACAGCTTAATGGGACTAAATCGGGGGGCCCAGATAATCTTCATCCAAGAATATTAAAGGAATTGGCACATGAAATTGCAAGCCCATTAGCAAGAATTTTTAATGAATCTGTAAACTCAGGGGTTGTACCGTATGATTGGAGTATTGCTAACATAGTTCATATTTTTAAGAAAGGGAAAAAAAGCGATCCGGGTAACTACAGGCCTGTTAGTTTGACATCTGTAGTATGCAAGGTCTTGGAAAAAATGTTGAAGGAGAAAGTAGATAAGGACATTGAGGTAAATGGTAAATGGAACAAAATACAACATGGTTTTACAAAAGGTAGATCGTGCCAAACCAACGTAATCTCCTTCTTTGAGAAAGTAACAGATTTTTTAGGCAAAGGAAATGCAGTGGATCTAATTTACCTAGATTTCAGTAAGGCATTTGATATGGTGCCACATGGGGAATTATTAGTTAAATTGGAAAACATGGGGATCAATATGAAAATTGAAAGGTGGATAAAGAATTGGTTAAAGGGGAGACTACAGTGGGTCATACTGAAAGGTGACCTGTCAGGCTGGAGGGAGGTTACCAGTGGAGTTCCTCAGGGATCGGTTTTGGGACCAATCTTATTTAATCTTTTTATTACTGACCTCGGCACAAAAAGTGGGTGTGCGCTAATAAAGTTTGCGGATGATACAAAGCTGGGCGGTATTGCCAATTTAGAGAAGGACCGGGATATCACACAGGAGGATCTGTATGACCTTGTAAACTGGAGTAATAGTAATAGGATGAAATTTAATAGGAGAAGTGTAAGGTTATGTATTTAGGGATTAATAACAAGAATTTTAGTTATAAGCTGGGGACGCATCAATTAGAAATAACAGAGGAGGAGAAGGACCTTGGAGTATTGGTTGACCACAGGATGACTATGAGCCGCTAATGTGATATGGCCATGATAAAAGCTAATGCGGTCTTGGGATGCATCAGGCGAGGTATTTCCAGTAGAGATAAGGAGGTGTTAGTACCGTTATACAAGGCACTGGTGAGACCTCATCTGGAATACTGTGTGCAGTTCTGGACTCCCATGTTTAAGAAGGATGAATTCAAACTGGAACAGGTACAGAGAAGGGCTACAAGGATAATCCAAGGAATGGAAAACCTGTCTTATGAAAGGAGACTCAAGGAGCTTGGCTTGTTTAGCCT